ACGTTCTGAAGCATCGGTAAATACATGTAACTGTATTTCCCGAAGATCATCTTGCGCTATCCAGCGTGGTATATGTATGGTGTTTATGTGAGAAAGAGAGTTAACAAAGTTATTAAATTCCAATACAATTTGCGATGGAACCTCATCATCCCAGCCACATTTATGTACCCACAGTTGTTGTAATATATTTTTGGCTTGTAAAATACACGGTCCAACCAGACCTAAAGGATCGAAAACTTGACTTATGAAAGATAAAATATTACGTTTTGTGTATTTATGTGTAAAGGTGTGGTTAATTGAAAAATAAAAAGTGTCATGAAAGGTGTCCCAGAATAAACCTAATGTTTTTGAAGGAGAAGGATCAAGATTAAGGGTTTTATGTTGTTCACTTTTTTCATCATTCGTTATATTGTTTATAATTGTTTGGCTATTTGATTGCCATTTTCGCAAGTGAAATTTCGCGGACTCTAGTACATTCTTTATTTCTTTGACCAAAGCGATAACGGACTCAATAGAGTCCCCGCCACCCAAATAGTCATCCATATAAAAATCATGTTTAATGGCATACTGTACTAACAAGTTAGGAGTATCTTTAGCGAGGGACACTAAACATTTAGTGGCTAAATAAGGGGCCGATGAGGTTCCGTAGGTAACTGTATTAAGAGTATATGTTTTGAGGGATTCGTTAGTGTTAAATCTAAATATGATTTGTTGTAAGGTGCGTTGTGATTTGTGCAATAAAATAGATCTATACATTTTTTCCACATCTCCAGTAATAGCGTATTTATGTTGACGAAATCGTAATAATATAGACATAAGATCATCTTGTGTTTTTGGACCCACCATTTGTATATCGTTGAAACTCTTACCAGCTGTCGTGGCAGCGGATGCATCAAACACAACGCGTAACTTTGTTGTTGTACTCGACTCTCGTATAATACCGTGGTGTGGCAAGTAAAAATTATATTTATTTGTGGAATGTGAATTAGGTAAGTTTTGGGTCATGTGACCTAGATTAATATATTCTCTAATAAATTCGTCATAATTTTGCTTGTATTGAGAGTCTCGTTCAAACTTACGCTCAAGTGCAAGAAACCTTCGCTTAGCTAAGGCATATGAATCACCCAGACAATCTGGTGAGGTCTTCAATGGTATTGTCACTACAAATTGACCAGACGAAGTACGATATGTAGTGTTATTAAATATTTCTTCACAAGCTTTTTCTTCCTGAGAATATGAGTACTGAGATGAAATTGAGTCTAACTCCCAAAATTTTGCAAGAGTAAATTCTTCGTTATTGTTCAATGTATGATGACATACATTACGAGTTTGAACGTTATTAGCATATATGCATCCAGATACAAGCCATCCTAGTTTTGAGGAATGTAATTTTGGATATGTTGGACCAATATTGCAGTTTTCTGCATTTAAGACTGCCCAAAATATTTCTGCACCCACTAAAATGTCAATAGAAGAAGGTAGGTGGAATTTAGGGTCAGCTAATTTTATTTCTGAAGGAATTGGTATATGCTTAATGTTTACGTACGAATTGGGTTGGGTGTGTGAAATTTTTGGCAGGATATAACAAGTAATATTTGCTTTATAATCACTAAAGTATGACTCAAAAATTAGTTCGCATATTTGGGTGGCCCGTGTGACTTGGTTATTAATCGTAGAGATAGTGGAATCAGTGTTATATCTTACCAAACCAAGCTTATTACACATATCTTCCGTAATAAAATTACAAGTGCTTCCATTGTCAAGCAGAAGTCTGGCTGTGTGTTGTTTTCCGTCTTTGTCTTTTACACGTACCAACGCTGTAGATAATATGACGTAAGCAGTGTTATAAGATGAACTGATATTTGTCGAAAGTGCTACATTAGAAGAAGATGGGTCTTTATGGAAATTATCTTTATGCAATAGAGTATTATGTCTAGAATTACAATACTTGCAATTTGATAATCTACAGTGGTTACGGACATGACCTGGACGTAAGCAATTCGTACATACTCTACTTTCGGTGGCTTTTTTTATACGAGAATCTACATCAAGTTTAATGAATGAAGGGCATGTAAATAAGAAATGATTTTGTGAACACATAGGACATGTAATGTTTTTATTATAATTTTTCTTGTCGGTATTTATTAACTCTTTTTTGCTAAATGAATTATTGTAATTATTATTATTATAAGTTAAAGGGTGTGATTGAAGTTTTGAGTGTTTGACGTTATGTATAATAGGAATAGTTACTCCCGCATTCAATGTATCCAATACATCACACTTATTGTTTAAAAATTTAATGAATTGTTGTAAACTTGGTGAGTTACAACTTAAGCTGCATCTGTATTCTTCCCATAGCCGATTCGTAACTGGGTCTAATTTTTTTGATATTACATAAACAATAATTGTGTCCCAGTGATCGACAGGTTCACCTAATATTGCAAGTGCTCTTAAATTTTTATTCATCACATCAATAACATTTCTTATTTCCAAACTACTTTCAGAGGATATATTTTTCGTATTTAATAAGGCTTGTATATGATTGTTGATTAAAAGACGTATGTTATCATATCGCTCCGTTAATAATTGCCATGCAATTGGATAATTGTTTGCTGTTACATCTAAACTTTGAATTATTAATGACGCAGTACCTTTCAAAGCTGCGCGTAAATAGTGAAATTTATGTACGTTTGAGATGTTATTATTATTATGGATAATTGAAAGATACGTATCTCGAAATTCCAACCATTCCTGAAAGTCACCGCTGAACTGCGGCACGTTGATGACAGGTAGATGGAATTTAGGTGCACAGCTATCTTCGTGGTCGTCTGTCACGGAACCTGCCCTAGAAGACGTTGATGAAGTAGCAGCATTCATCATACTACGCGCCAAAGCAAGGAGTGAATAATATTGTTCTTCGTATTGGAGGCGTTCCTTGTATTCGTCCTCAACCTGCTCCGACAATGCCTCAATCTCCATCTGTAACGCGTCAAATTGGTCGTATACCGCATCAATTTTTCTAAGCCTGCATTCTAGTTCCGATTTTTGTAGCTCAGACAAGACAACCGAGTCTTTTATAAGATTCAAAAAATTATTAAATGATGAAAGTTTGGCTTTAAGGCCTCCACGTTTTTTAATTAGGTCTTTAAGGGAAGCACTGGCCATTTTGATTCTTAACACTCTTAATTAAAACAAATAATAAGTAATAATTATACACTTTACTCACAAAAATCGATGTCAACTAAAGAAGTAAAAAGAAGTTTTTTTTTTTTTTTTGAGTGGGTAATAAGAACGAACACCTAATAAATATGCAACATGCAGTATGTATGAATGTAATGAAATAATAAGCTTATTACGTGCTTATCTATAGAAAATTGTTATAGGAATAATTTTACGATTATTGTTGAAACGTAGATGAAAAGTTTTATCCTCAATAATAATATAATATGTCTAAAAATAATTTTACGAAAAATGCAGTAGAAATTAGACACAATTCTGAATTCCTGGAAAATGGATAGGTGATATATAAGTATGAGAAAGGAATTGGAACGAACTCACTCAGTGCTGTTTTCCATTTTGGATCTCCATATGCATATTCTTTTAGTTCTGAAGTATTTTCAAGTACACATAATGGCTGCCATAATGATGCTTAGATTTAATTTCCGATATGCTTCTGGTTCATTTTTAATCGAAGGACCATTTTTTTTTTTTGACTGTAGTACTTATAGGTTTATTCGATTCCAATTTACATAATATGTAGAAATTAACGTATTGAGGCAAAGAATAATAGAAGGTACGGGAAACGTTCGTTTACGCCAGTGTTCGATATTGAGTGTCTCCCCCGGAGCTCACGCAGATCTCGCCAGCGGTCAAAGCGACGTTCAAGACATAGGACGTCTCAAATGTGCGGGCGCACGCACGGTGCGAGGTCTTCCTATGTTCTTAACAAGACGTCGCGAACAGTGTTACTCTACAAGAATTAGAAAAAAGAACATTTACGCAACTATATACACTTTGTTTACTTTCATACGAAAAAATATATTTGCAAATAATCTTTAACGTAAAATTAAAACTTCTAAGCGGTCCACTACTAAATATGGTTATCTCTTGTAGGAGAGTCTTAGATTATAAGGCTGAGATGTTTTAAATGTAAATAAGAGCGTCAAACGAGTAACAATCCATACAATTAAAAATGGAAACTGCAGCCCATGGATGCCTGGTATCAAATAATGTAGGTAACTCTAAATACCAAGATAGAATGCCTCACAGCTTTAAATTATATTTATATCTTATCCATCACACACAGTGCTTGTACTGGAGCTTAACGGCAGAAACAGAGAAGAGCGTGGTACTGAAGGGACCCCTAGGCAGTACAGGTAAAGATCTGGGAGAGGAAAAGATCTTGGTTGGTTCACATTACATCAGTTATATACGAAGTCGTTTTTTATCTACCTGAGACCAAGAAATCTTCTTGTGTCGAAGTCTTTTGGGAACTTATTTATATGTCACTAATGCTAATGCCTAACGAAATCTGTTACGACGCGGCGTATTACGGTTCAACTTTCCAAAATCATACATGGCAATTTATTCATTTCAGATTCAAAATTCCTGCGGGAATTCTTACTGGTTATTTTGAAGAGGGGGTTTTCTTCTAAACAGTGGAAAAAGTAAAAAAATATATAGTTACGACTAATATTTTTTTTAAATATAATTAGGCGTTACTTTGCGAAAATCCATTATATTAAAGATGTTAATAATTAATGACGTGGATATTAGATAATTAATTTTTAACAACTCTATGTATTATTTTAAAACTAAGTTACTCAAAAACTCTATTATATTCTATAATATTGAAAAATGATATCGTTTAACTTTATTATTTTTGTTTAACTTAATTATAAATATTTTGAAATGCAAAACACACAACTTCGGTCTTTGCCAGGAACAGCGAAATTATAATTGAAAAGATGAATTATTAAAGACAATGTTATGAATTCCAGCTGCGAAAGCCGGTCTCGACGGTGTCGATCCCCGGCGCTATGAAGGCATACTCCGGAGGGAGGGACGCAGCGACCGAAGAGGCGGGTGTTGCTTTAGTTGGTGTGCACAGCGAGTATCCGCGCTTCGGTGAGGAACGTGCCCTTGGTGGCGGCACGTACAAAGGCGGGGGGACAGCTAAGCACAAACCAAACATAGGATATAGGTCAGTACTTATTGCTTATCTCTTAATTAAATTTAAATTGCGTTCACCCATTTGATTAAGCAGTACGATGTGATCTGCATATATATAATTTCAATTAGTTTTTGAATGTAATGTACCTTAATGAATGCGTACATCATAACGATTCTCTTTGTCATATTATGAGAGTTAACCCAAAAGTTTTATTGTATTAGCCACTTGCCGAATATAATTCGTAATCAGCACTGAAACCGAGGGATTCCCTAGGTAGCACACCAGTAAAGCTTTTAGGTCACCTTCCTCAAAGCCCAGATTTGGGACCATGTGACTTCTTCAGGTTCACTAAAATAATAAAAAATCTGATGAATGTGATAAGTTGGAAGAGCTTTCGAGCAGGCCGTAGAAAAAGTATCTCTGAAGCGGACTGAAAAAAGTATTTCGAAAATTACTTCAAAAGCATGAAACTTTGTAAATATGCAGGTACAAACTTCTGTCAAAAGCTTTTTAACTTAGCATAATATTTTTTTATTTTCATAATTTTCTGAGTGGCTCACGTAGAATGAAAACTAGTTTTGTGGGCAACATCGTTTTAACTTTTTTTTTAAATAACTATAATGCAGTTCACAGTGCGTTCCGTTTGAGATTACCCTTCAAGAAGTAAAAGTTACTATTACAGCTTATTAAATTTTACTGCCGACCATAGATAGGCCTCACCCATAGATTGACTTAAAGGGTGATATTTTTTTATCGAATGGAGGTGACAAACGAACTCACAGCCCACCTGATGGTAAGTGGTTGGTGTGGCCCATACTACACTATCCTCGATTAAAAATCAAAATGCAGAAGCGTTGTCACCCCTGAGGACTAAGATGGAATACCTCATTTCCAGTAAAAAGGGTCTTCGGTTCTTTATATTCACCATACGAAACACAGCAGTATTAACCTGCTATTTTGCTCTAGTATTGTGTGAGAGCGTGGTCCCACTCCATTCGAGCCGACACATTCGTGCTACAACTATAATAATATAGCTGAAGTATGGCTCTAACACCATGTATCCTAAGATAAAATACCTAAAACTCAAGGTTCAACTCAACCAAGGTCTAAACATTAAGGGGGTGTGCATCTGTGTTTTGGTTTTCAGACGATGTGGCCGTAGAACTAATTCTCCCCCTAAGATTAACTTTATAACATTATATTTACTAAAAATAAACATTAAAGGTAAATAAAACTATTTTTACGGTATTTATCACGTTTAATTTACTATTTTAATTCCCGACATTTCGGGTGGTTTACAGCAACCCATGGTCACGGGGGGGACTGACTGGATAAAATCCGTAAAAATAATTTTATTCAATGTGTAGTGTTCGCGTAAATATATGAAATAATAACATTAACGTTAATAATTAGACAGAAAACGTCTGATATTAACTATCTACAATCATTAAATAATATTAAAGCAAACATAGACTTAATCATTCATAATATGGCGTCATTGAAATTATACATCTACTTGCTAAATGTCCGTCACTAACCTTGACCAAACGGAAATAACTATATTGGACCGAATCGATCTTGAAACGGCAATGAATAAGCGATTGATTTTTTTTTATACTTTCTAACGTGATTTCCCAATTGCTATTGACAACCACGTCATCATTATCATCATAACAGCTCATCACAATTCCGCTGCTAAACATGGGTTTCCCCAAAGGAATGTCACAAAGCACGGTCCTGAACCACAATAACTTGAGAACGTCTTCCAATATAGTGGTGAAGAGTTTCTAGGACATAACATCACCATGTCTTATATCTTTTTGCAATACAGCAGCAGTTAAAGAGTAGGAATACTAAACCTATACAAATAAGTTTAATACTCCTACTTACCTTACTTACCACTTCATTACTTCGATATACGACAGTGAACATGTCAACGCTGAAGGGACTGGAGCACCGTTCTAATTTAGACGAAACAGATGGTTTCTCATAGTCCACATACGCAGGACTAACAGTTTGTACTCCTCGGTCTTCTGTATAATTTGCCAAAGGGTATGTGGCCTATAATACTAAAGGCTTTTCGAAAAGTGACTTATTCGGGTGGTTAGAAATCGTCAAGTCTGCATGCGAGAGTATTTTTGTAATGACTCTAGAAAACAACATGCAAAATAAGAAGATGCGCCTCATAATTAAAATTGGTTTGTAGTTCTATATTAGGGCGTTCCTTCGTTGTTATGCCAAAATCGAGGTCAGAACTGAAGATCTTCTCAAAGACTAAGTACAAGCGTTCAGAAGATTCGCTTTGGAAACGTTTGGAAACCAGGAGATGGGAAGCAAGCAGCGTTTGATGATGATGATGATGATATTATCATCATAATCACCATCATCATCAGCGTTACAGTTCTTCACAAGTAGTCTACTGCAGAACATAGGCCACATCCAAGGAATGCCACAAAGCACGGTCCTGTGCCACCTTCATCCACCGACTCCCTTGTTAATGGGCCAGCCATATTGAAATGTTTTCGAGTGGCAGCCTCGTATCGGTAGGCGAAGTATAAGGCGGTCGCTTACTAGATGGAGTGACGTAGGAAGTCTTTCTAGTAATAACAATAAAATTAAAAACAGTAACTGCAAACTGCCAAGCGTGGCAACTATGCTAGATATTAAGAACCATATTTTATTAAAATAAGTTAGTAAGTACATCAAATCATGGGTATATAAAGCTAACATTTTACTTATTTATTTCCAGGTTAGGTAGGCGAAAGGCATTATTCGAAAAACGAAAACGAATAAGTGACTACGCTTTGGTAATGGGAATGTTTGGTATTATAATAATGGTAATAGAAAACGAACTTTCTAGTGCTGGTGTTTACACAAAGGTAATGTTGTTGTTAACGATTTTAGTGTGTTTGAAAATATTGTAAACGTATATTGTATCGTAAAAATATTTTTTTCAGGCATCTATCTACTCGCAAGCGTTAAAGACACTAATATCAATGTCGACTGTGATTTTACTTGGCCTAATCGTTGCTTATCACGCTTTAGAAGTTCAGGTACGTGTCAAGTTTGGACATGCAAATAGGCACCTAGTGTTGAAAGTAATTAATTTTAGAAAATATGATTCTAAAAACCATTTGTGTTCAAATCCGAAAATAACGTTTTGTACTAGTATTAAAAAAACATGCCTGAGTGTCGCGGAATACTCGGTTGGAACGAAGTTCCTTTCGTAGTATACTGTTATTGATAAACGTATTATATTATTGACTAGTTGTTCCCCGCGAATTCGCCCGCGTGTAATTTAGGGTTTTAATGATGTTGCGCGGAACCCTAATTCTGTTTCTAAAATATAAGTAGTCTAAGTTACTCCTGACAACATCAGCTATCTGATAGTGAAAGTCCCGTCGAATTCGGTCCAGCCGTTTCGGAGGTTGGCCGGAACAAACAGACAGACAGAAAGACGGACAGACACACAGACAAAATTTTTAAATACTGTGTTTTTGTTATAAATACCATATATATTTTCATATGCATTTAGTAAAATTCTGTTATTTTTACATTACAAACAGACACTTCAATTTTATTTATTTAATATAGATTAACAAATACAAAGAAATGAATCACTAGCGTCTTTTAAAATGAAGCGTCATGTAAAATAAAATCATATTTCTTTCATTGCAAGATAAGAAAAAGTGCGAGGGAGATGGACATTACTCCATCTCGCTTCCTTATGGCCGCCAAGGCCGTTAGAAGGGGTTGTGACGGAAAATCTTACACTTTATGTCACTATCCGCCAAATCCGTACCGTGCGATAAAAATCGTTCCAATAATAACTTCATAATCATCATTATCATTACAGTCCATTGCAAGTCCACTGCTGAACGTATATCTCCTTGAAAAATAAGTATAATCAAAAGTCGCCTGCATTTGTAGAAATAATAGAGAATGTTTAATTATTTCTATAAGAGGAAAGAAGAAAGAAGAATACATTATTTCTTTATATCTCTTTATATTTCTTAATTTATTTAAATGAAAACGTATCTAAACTTAAAAGATGTTGTAAAAACGAGAAATTCCTATAATGACGTAATACAGGAATAGTAAGTAATATAAAATATAGATAAATTTTATTTGTATTTAATTGTTATTGTGATATCTTAGTTCACTCAAGCGGGTCAACTGGGTTGGTTTTTACTTTTTATTATTATTAATAGTTAATATTTTTGTCCTTTTGAGTTGACTAAAATATTACAATCTCATTGTCGTCTAAATAGTTACATTATACACTTAAAATAGGAGATATTTACATTTATATGGGTGAACTTAAAGTATAACCTATTTCATTAAAAAAACATTGATATCCGTTCATAATTAACGAAGATATCGCGTAACATAACACACACACAAAAACATACACTCAAATTGAGAACCCCTTCTCTTTTTTTTTTGATAATGACTACATAGGTACGCTACGCTACTTTATTAAACATTTAAAAATTAAGATTAACGTCGTATTTAAAATTTATTACCTGTTTTTCACAAAACATGGAGCTGTACCGTGAGAAGCGCCGTTTTAAATATTTAACACATAACCTTTAGCAGGTTTTATTTTCTACATAGAAAATTTTAGGTTTTCGTACTCTTCTCGTAATTGTGGATTCAGAAGTAAACAATAAGAATTTATTTATTTATTTTCATGGTTTCAGTTATTTATGATAGACAACTGTGCCGACGATTGGCGAATAGCAATGACGTGGCAGCGAATAGCACAAATAGCTTTAGAGTTAGCGATTTGTGCTGTCCACCCTATTCCGGGCCAGTATACTTTCACGTGGACCACGAAACTGGCGAATAAAGGTGGTGTTATAGGCGTTGAAGTCGTAAGTTTTAAATTTATTTTCATCTTTTAATTTAAATTAAAATAATCACTTTTTATAACGTATTTGTAGGGTAGCTTTTTATAATGTATTAACTTTTTGTTTTAAATTATTTCTAATAATATTTTTTTATAATCAAAATAGTCCTGAAATTATAATCATAAAATAATTTTTTCTTAGGAAACAATGTATAAGCAAATTCAGGTCTGTATTTAATTAATTATAATACCCACGGAATTTGAGTGATGTTATTAAATGTATCACGCATGTCCGGTTTTTCTTAAATAACTTTTATTTGTGTTTTATTCACAATACATTTAACTTTCTAACAATTAAATATCCAAAAGTTGAATATTGTGTGGATGTGTACGCCGAATGCTGGGGATTTGTATTACTATTTTACATAATAAGTAATTAATTATTTTAAATTTATTTTGTCTTAAAATATTTTTTTAAATAAAATTAATATTTTATAGCTGGAAAACTTAAGCCGTAAAATATTGCTTGTTATATTCATATTTTTGTCAACAATACAAACTTCCAGCATGATAATTTCTTAAATAAAAATTTGTTACAGATCTATTGAAACTTTTAAGATGTTTTTACTTTTATTGCTTAAGACTGATATTAATACAATTTAATACTGCTTTTAAATATTTTATAACATCCGTGGATCTTTTTACCGATAAACAAAGTGTAGGGCGGTAGGGGCTTAAAAGTTCAGAAAGTCGATAGATGCAGTTGACTCAGGGCCTAGCTTTGTTGCATTCCTTGGAGCAGATCTTTTTTTTTATAGGATCGGGTGACAAACGAGCACACAGTCCACCTGATGGTAAGTGGTTACTGTGACCCATAGACATCTACATCTATCCTCAATAAAGACTCAAGATGCAGATGCGTTGTCACCTGTGAGGACTAAGATGGAATGCCTCTTTGCCAGTAAAAAGGGTCTCCAGTTCTCTACACTCACCATACGAAACACAGCAGCGTTAAGCTGCTATTTTACGCTGGTTTTCTGTGAGAGCGTGGTCCTTCCCCGGTCGAGCCGACCCATTCGTGCTACAACCATAATATAGCTGCAGCATAGCTCTACCACGTAGAAAGCATACCTATATTCAGTATTGTTGTTATGAGCCGTAGTGATGATGACGATCATCCGAACCAAAACTAAAAGAACCGGAACTAAATAAATGTGCCGAAATAACTTTAACGATTATTATCAAGTGCCACATTGGAAAAAATATTCTTAGGTTATGATTTTTACGAGAAGGCTCATATTTTTTTCTCAAAAGATGGTTTCTTGTTTTTTGGAAATACAAGATTTGTGCTGTAATATGCCAATGCTGTGCCGCTATGTGCCATAAGAAAAAAATAAACACATTTGTAAATTGTACATGCCAAAAAAAAGTATTGAAAGGTCGTTCTATTTTAATTATTAAACTAATTAGCTTTTGTGTTATGATTTTCTAGGCCCATTGGGTTGGTTATGTTATCTAATATACAAAAATGAATTTTTATTTGTTCGTATTTTATGCGCTGCCATACCGTTCATCAGATTGCGGTAAAACTTTGTCAACTTATTGCTTGCACTTGCGCGTAGGTTATAGGCATAGTACAAATAACTTACACTAGGTGGCGCGCGTATCGTACCGATAATTTATTTTGAACGTTATAAGTTCTTTCAATTTCAATGATATAATCATCATTCCTATTTAAGCAATATAACTCTTCCAAATTTAAAACTATATTCCTACAATTATTTTTACTGTGGCAGCAATGCGCTGCGTACTAGCTAGTATGTTATAAAAACAATTTGCATGTTTATGACAATCATAACATTAGATAGAATTTTCAGTGACACAAGACATTTTACGTCGAGCCTTGTATATATAGAGGTCAGTGACGTCCAGCACGTTCGGACACATTGTTTCTTAAATCAATAGTCCAAGGTGGCTAATAGCCAGTAGATAGAATATGTTGTGCATTTTTTAACGTAGGTTTGTCATAATATATCACCGTTTTCCTAATATAGTTCTAAAATTCCAAACAAGCCAGTAGTAACTGGCTCGTATAAAATATATCATGGTGATTTTTCTTTTCTAATTGATTTAAAATTCGCGTTATTTAATGAGCTTAGTATTTTGACGGACCTTATGCCTGCACAGACGGAATGCTATATCAACATGTTCGAACTAAGTAAATAAAATTAACGTTTTCAGTTCAAGTCAAAACTTTCTGTTCAATTTTGGCTTGTTTACATCTCTTGTATATGTATGGGAATCTTTTATTAATTAAAATGACATTGATATATATAGGTATATGTATGGGTAGTATTCAATTTGACATTTAAAGTTATTGATTCATTCATATCGGGAAATAAAAAGTCCGGAAGATGATACCGTATAAACCCTCCGACGATTTCATTGAGTTCATTGAATCGGCACACAAATTTTCAAAAGTCATATATAATTCAAGTAATCAAAAAACGTTCCATAAAATAGATGAACACAGAGTAGAAAGCGAGACCATGTCTCAAATCCTAATTGACTTAAAAAAGCTGCTTGTGACTTTATAGTAGACCGTGTACACTTGTCGGTACTGTGTACACTTATATATGTAATTCCAAACGATGATGGGCTAGCTTGTCCATACTTGTTTCTTACATAACTAAGTTGTTTGAGCCCACAACTTCTCCGAGACAACGCTCGTAGGTACACTGTAGAATTATAACAATGTGCGTTAATCATGATGGCATGATGCGCGCTATCAATCAAAAACAATATTTTAAACTTCAAGATATTAACTCATGCTAATTTTAATTTTGTAAAATAAATCTTTGCTTCTGCGTTTCGCTTAGTAAGTGCCACCCCCAACACATGGTGGAATTTAAAAATAAAATACTACCCCAGATGGGTAACTGTAATCCTGGTGGAGGATGGACAATTAATAAAATATAGCACAAAACAGTTTGGAATTTTACCATCGACATTGTCGATGAATTTGAAAACCAATAATTGTATCATCGGAAGTGCCTTAATTGCGAATAGATAAAGGTCACGCCAGGGTGAATTTCCCCGTTTTGAAGAGTGCTTGCTTAAGTGGATTTGTCAGAGTAGAGGACAAAACGTTTCCGTCAGTGGTTTTATGTTGAAGGTAAAAGCCAAGTCTTTTGCGCACTCTATTGGAATTAAAGAATTTACAGCAAGTAAGGGATGGCTCTGAAATTTCAAAAATCGATGCGGCATCATTTTTAAAATAATCCGCGGAGGGAGCGCCCGCGTTCATATTTCCATTTGTTCTCAGTGGATCGATTAACTAAACCAAGTTTTGAATGGCTATGTGACCTAAGGAACATATTCAACAAACTTTTTTATAAATGTCTACCTGATCACACTTTGACGTTCAAAGACGAAAAGTGTCATGGGAGGAAACTCAGGAAGGATAGATTAAGTGTTCTTTTAGCGTGTAACATAGACGGTTCTCAAAAATTGAAACCACTTATTAAAACATTTCCCTTTAATAAGTGGTTTCAATTTTGTGCGAAACCACGCTGTTTTAAAGGCATAAAATTGCTGCCCACAGCTTATAAGTCAAACGAAAAATCGAAGATGATGACAGAGTTGTTTAATGAATGGCTAACCTCAGCGAACAGTAACTCGAAAAAGGGAAAAATGTAAAATCGTACTGTTTTTGCGCAACTGCACCGTGCATAATAACCCACTACGATTAGAACACGTAAAATTGTTTTTTTTTTTTAATTAACAAGACACCAAGTTTGCAACCGTAAGACCAAGACATAATTAATGATGTTAAAAAGTGCGGGTTTAAAGTAAGCGAAAATGTAGAGCAGTCATCGGAGCCACCAAAAATTACAAATGTTAATTCAGGGTGGGGTCTTCTACCTAACTATGGAGAATTAACAGTTGAAGATTATTTAAATAAAACTAGTTTTACGGATTTTATCGCGTATATTAACTATTATTTTATATTCCCGACGTTTCGAGTATTTTACAGCAACCATGGTCACGGGAGGGGGGGGGAGGGACTTAGGTGTTTGACGTCCCAATGTCATAGTTAACCACGGCTACCTCCAGATTAAAATTATTTATTTTTGTTCCGATCTACGCAGTATGAATTTACAGTATCTTGAAGTCTTGCAGTTGTAATTATTGAAATTAAGATGTTTTTTGATTTCAATAGCCTCGCGAATCATCCTTGGAAGGAATCGGTGTTCTTGAGCGAGGAATTGTGGTCTATCAAATCTAATGTAGTGACGGGGCGATCCTTTACGTGTTCATTTATAATATTGATTAATTAATATAATATAGTATAGAGGAAATGTATGGGGATATCTCTAGGGCCATGCATTTCTCCAAAACCCATTATACGGTGTTAATGGGAGATTTCAACGCAAAACTAGGCACAAAAGAGAACAAAGAGCTTAAAGTAGGGAAATTCCGATTAGAGTAAAGGAACCCAACGGGCCAGCAGCTGGCCGACTTTATGGAGAAAGAGGGACTGATTATGATGAACTCTTTCTTCCAAAATCGGTCCCACAGAAATGGACCTGGTCAAGCTCCGACGTTTCAACAAAAAGTGAGATTGATTTCATTATGACGACAAGGCGACAACTGTACAGTGGTATCTCAGTGTTCGCGAGGTTGAAAACTGGCAGCGAACACTAAATGGTGAAATGCACACTGAACCTAAACGTTAAGTTGGAGAGGTCACGCTAATGAAGTCAACGCTATGTTCCTTTTGTGCTTTAATTCAAAGCCCTTTAAACTTTCAGCAAGACTACAATGAAGTGGATGATATGAATGACAAGCTTGTGGAAACTATTATTGCAGTCGGAGCTAAGTTCTGTAAAACGCGCCGCAGAAGAACACAAAATCTATCCGATCATACTCTTAATCTCATGGCTGTTAGACGGGCAGATGTAGATGTAGCTGTAGTTTTCAGCAGATTTGACAGCATACAGGCAACTGAACAGACAAATCTTCAAAAGCATGCAATGTACATAACTTTAATACTGCTTGTATTAAAGAAGCGATCGAGCGAAGCCAGGGCTCTAAAGTCTTTGCTAGAGATCTGTCTGCCAGAAAGAGCCAACTGTCGGAGCTGATGACCGAATCTGGTAGCTTCGTTTCCGGGACACCTGAGATTTTGAGTGAGATTGAGAGGTTCTATGGGCAGCTGTACACGTCACTGTTGGAGCCACACGCAAATGTGAGTAACGATTCAAGTGTAAATCTTATCCGACACTATTCCGATGATATCCAGGACGTCAGTCTGAGTGAGATTAGAACGACTCTCCAGCACATTAAAGACGGCAAGTCCCCGGGCGAGAATGTAATTACAGCGGAGCTTCTGAAAGCGGGTGGAAAACCGGTACTTGAAGTCCTTTAGAAACTCTTTAATGCCGTTCGCATGGAAGGACTACTCCAGAGGCGTGGTGGAGAAGTGCGGTGGTCTTGTTCTTCAAGAAAGGTGATAACGCTCTCTTGGAGAACTACAGACGATTATTATTACTGTTTTCGAGAGTCATTATGAATCGTCTCGCATGCAAACTCAACGTCTTCCAGCCTCCCAAACAAGCTAGTTCCCGAAAAGGCTGTAGCACCACATACCATATACAAACCCTTCGGCGCATTGTATAAAAGAACGAAAAGTACAATTTGCCACTTTGTCTTGCGTATGTTGACTATTAGAAAGCCTTTGATTCCGTCAAAATTTAGGCGGTTCTGCAGTTCCTTCAGCGGTGCCAAGTTGGCTGTCGCTATATCGAAGTGCTGAAGTGTTAGTACAGTAGGGCTACAATGGCTATACGAGTACATAACCAGAATACGAAGCTTGTCCAACGTAATATCCCCGAAACTCTTCACTGCTGCATTGGAAGATGTTTTCAATCTACTGGACTGAAAAAGATACGGTATTCACGTCAATGGCGAGTACATCACTCACCTTCGATTTGCCGCCGATAAAGTCCTTATGGCAGATTCACTGGAGGACCTAAGCACTATGTTCAATGACCTCAATAGTGTCTTCCAACGAGTAGGTCTTAAGATGAACATGGACAAAACAAAGATCATGTTTAATATCCATGTCACACCTATGCCGGTGGTTGTTGGGAGCACTAAGCTTGAAGTTATTGACGAGTATGTTTACCTGGAACAAAAAGTCTGACTAGGTAAGTCCAACTTTGACCGAGAGGTCAACTGACGAATTCAACTCGGCTGGGCAGCGTTCGGGAAATTACGACACATCTTCTCGTCAGGTATACCTCAAAACCTGAAAAATAAATTGTACAACCAGTGCGTATTGCCAGTGGTGACCTATGGATCTGAGACGTGGTCATTCACTGCTAGCTTTATGATAAAGCTCAAAGTCGCTCAGAGATCTATGGGGATGTCTATGTTCGGGTTTTCTCTGCGTGATAGACTTAAAAACGAGGATATTCGCAGTAGAACCAGAGTAACCGACATAGCCTAACGGATTAGTAAGCTGAAGTGGCAGTGGGCCGGCCATATTGTTCGAAGTACCGACAACCGATGGGGAAGAAAGGTTATCTAGTGACAGCCTCGTACTAGCAGGCGAAGTGTAGGGTGGCACCCCACTAAATTGAGTGACGACCTGGTTAGACATGCAGAAATTAAATGGATGCAGGATTCTCGGTACCGTTCTTTGTGGCATTCCTTGGGGGAGACCTATGTTCAGCAATGAACTTGTGAAGGGCTGTAATGACGATGATAAGGACACAATCTTGAACATGTAGACTATTTAGGATCGTCCTCGCAAATATCTTTTTTTTTTCAACAGAATTCAACAGAAAAAGATATATGAGGCAGGCTTATGGAAAGCGCCCTTCACTTGAATATAAGAAATTTAAAGTTTTTGAATGAATAGTTTCTGTAGATCTGTATTAAAACTAAGGCTATAAAACAATTTTCTTTGCATGTATGTTCTGAAGTGATAAACTAAAAATAATGATATTTCATAACCCGCTTTATTTACTACAACATCTTTTTAACCCTGTGTAATGAGCATATATTTTGTTTTGATCAAAATTGAGATCCAAATAAATTATTGTAACCGTTACCTAATATTTAATGTTATATTATTTATATGTTATTAACTATACACTGCCTTAAGTCTGTGTTTACTTTTTCAATAAATAAAAATATATTAAATTGTTTTATATTGCATAATTCAAAAGAATAAAAGTTATTTCTTCTTTGATAAATTAACCTGTAGACAGATGACATTTTTAGTTAAAGTTGTAATATAATAAGAATATATAAATATGCATTTTAAGATTTTGTTACATATTATATTCATTAATGGGAAATTGTAACTTTCAGGTTCCTTACGACGTTACACTATCATTGCCAATGTTCTTTCGTCTGTATCTCATATGCAGGGTTATGTTACTTCATAGCAAATTGTTCACTGATGCATCATCTCGAAGTATAGGAGCTTTGAATAGAATTAATTTTAACACGAGGTAATGAAAACAATTTATATTCTTAAAATAAGAGATTATTTTTTTAGGTACGGCGTCGGCGCCAATAAAATTTTAACTACAATTTTATTTTTCGATTTTCACCTCGTGTTGAGCGGCATAAGAAGATATTTTAACCTGCATGTTCAAAACAAAATGTATTTATATAACATGTGGAGTTTTTTTAAACGTCATAATAATTTTACGCTATTAAAATAAGCACTTATTTCACTTTTATAATTTATTCGATAGATAACTCTCATCTGCCGATTGAAAAATTGGCCCTTATTTACATATATCATAAAGATATTTATTTACTTGTTTGCAGATTTGTACTGAAGACACTAATGACAATATGTCCAGGCACAGTTCTTTTAGTTTTTATGGTTTCTCTTTGGATAATAGCAAGCTGGACATTACGTCAATGTGAAAGGTTAGTAATATATTTTGCTATTGTAACTTTCAAGCACTACACAATTCATAAGATCTTTTAAAACTTATTAAAGATCTGAATCACTGTTCTTCTATATCCGAGTAAAAGCTAATAAACATGGATGTTAAAATATACGGTTAACCTATACAAAACGTATTTTAATTAAGTTTGGCTATTGTTGTCTTGCTTTTATTTTATAAGCTAACTAAGTATATATATTAAAAATATTATTAGTTTAGCTTTCGTATATTTTAAGAGTAATTAGATCGGATGTCTTTTCTAAAAATCGTTTGTAACTTGTTCGTATAGTCGTAAAGGTCATGTAATTGCTTTTGTTCTGTGTCGTTGTGTTGTTTCTTTATTTATCCTATGAGTAGCTGACATCGTTGGTACAGTAAAATAATGAAATTTTTCGCTCATAACCATTATAATTAAATGAAGAGTTTGACTTTGAATCACCTAATATGACCCATTTATTTTTAAACTATTGCAATAATAATTGAAAAAAAATCAAGAAATAAAATTATCATTTAATATTTTATTTATGATCTTTTATCAACAATACTACTTAAATTGAAAATCATAAACATGTATCCAGAAATCTAAGCATTACATTAATAACTACTACCTCCAATAATTGCCTTTTAGAATTTCATTATCAACAAAATACACCGGACTCCAGAAACTAGTTGCGCACAAAATGGCTCAAAGTATCACTAGCGTTTGTCTGATAACCGTTTTTCATCTCAGTCCACTACCACCGCACCTATGTCATGATCATTCATTGCCATTTCATCAGATATATCCCAATTTACAAGGCTTTAAAATTATCCTTCCGTATCTGTATTTTCTTCTTGTTGCGTGTCTATCACTTTATTGTTGGTTATCTATGTTTTATTAGCCTGTGTTTCCTCAAAGTAAGAAAAATCGCGCATGGCAAAAGTATTTTTGATTAATATGTGTTTAGATTGCACGTTTTGAAATTTGTTTCAACGAGTTCATATATTATATGTGGTTAAAATCATATTTTGTTTATTTTTTTTTTTGTTAAGAGAACTGAAAATTTCTAATCGGAATTTTTTACGCTTAGTGGTAAAAAATCTGGTATTTTCTTTAAATTTTAACCACATTTTATAATTATTTAGTAAAATTCAGAAAGTTGTTGATTATTCGAATTTGATTTCAATAAATTTGATAACATTTCTATTGATTATCTTAGAATAGTCGGTTATTCTGTGGTTCTTGTCGGGCATTTTGGCTCTCAGGTTCCACGATGAAGACCATGCAAATTTGCTTAACTCAATGTGGTTGACTGCTATTACCTTCCTCTGTGTTGGCTACGGTGACATTGTCCCCAACACATACTGCGGTCGTGGCATTACACTCACCTGCGGCATGGTGGTATGTATAAATAAAAAGGCTAAGGACGTCAATCTTCTTTAGAGGTATACTTTCAACCATTTTATTAAATTTAGACGAGGCAAAAAATAATCACATTGATCGTTAATATATTGTAATCTTGCTTCTTATACGTTATTGCGTTTTAGGTGGGTAAAGGTGAGCCATTTTATGCGAGTTCCCAGTGACACTTCATTCATTTGAAAATACTTTCACTATCAAAGTCAAACTCTTTTAATTTACCAAAACTATTTTTTTTCAATCATTTTGATTTAAAACTCTTTTTTATTTGGAACAATTTAATTTCTGTTCGAGCGCATTTCAAGAGTTTTCGTTAACATCTACAATCGTATAATCTCATACATATCAATTTTTTATCAATACCTGAAAATACCTTTCGAGTTTTAATAGACAAAAGATACAATTTATTAACGATTCAGGTTTCACGATGAAGAACATGCTAACCTACTCAATGCGATGTGGCTTATTGCCATAACATTTCTCTCCGTTGGTTTTGGAGACATTGTGCCAAACACATATTGCGGCAGAGGTATCGCCGTAAGCACCGGTATAATGGTAAGTTCTTGGAACAAAATGGTATGTGTTGACTGACAGGAAGGAATGAGTAATATTTACAATTATTTTTTATACTTTAACTTTAATCAATTATATTTCATAATTTAAAAGTCTTAAATTTTAATGGTAATAAAGAAATTATTTATTATCTCTTTTAACTGAAAGTCAGTCAACACCTATTGCAAAGTTACCCGTACAGTATACACAATCACACTAAATGGTTTACACTTACGATATTATATGGACAGGGACACAAAAATCATAAATATTGAAGTCGATACATAAAGTGTCTCCTCACAAGCTGTTAAGTTAAAAATTCTATTGCTTTTATTTTGATGTCAATAAAATTGCAGGATTTATCTTCAATAACTTGTTGGTATTTTTATTTATTAAGTACACTATTTATTATTCATTACTCTTATGAGAAAATATATGTTATTTATGAACAGTGAGACAAATTAAGTTCGAAAATAAATTTATATTGATCAATAAATAAACGTCCATTTCCCTGTTAAAGTCAGCTATTAGTTAAACTATATTTAGTAGTATGGAATGCTTAACAACTCTTTTCTATCTGTAGATCTCTTTTCACATTCTTAATATTTCACCGACTGCACTATACATTAATTTCTAAAATGGCTCACTTTTCCTCCAGTTAATTTTAACGGTAAATAAATGTACAAAATTTTATTGCACCTTTAGTGTTTTTGTAAAAAGGAATTTAATTCAAATTTAAGTCCTAATTATTATTTATTTACAGTTAAGTTTGCACATATTAGATATAAAAGCACTAATTGGTTTTTGTTACATAGATTAGAAGTAATTTTCTATTATATGAAGCGTGAATAGTTGCTATATGCTAAATAAAAAACTAAACATAATATCGCATCTTTAAAAACATCACTTAAACTTAAACAAATAAATTTGGCCACTGATTTTAAATTTTTCATCTTTCATCACCCTCGTTAAAACGTAAAAATATGACTAATATTAATTTGGTCTTACCAGCTAACATCATTATAAATAAATTAAATTGTCCATCTTTTAAAATAAATCATAAATGAATAAGTTTTGTTTTGATTATATATTTAACCAATTTAATAGCCGTGATCGCAGTCTAACAACTTTAAACGGCTAGGCATGTAGCACAAAGTAAGAACGTAATTTATTTTAACTTCTAGCCATAAAACGCATCATTTGATTAGTGGAATGTAAAAATTGAATGCTTCTACACAATCGCTTACGTTTTACATTAAGGTATTCACTTAACAGGGAGCTGGATGCACAGCGTTATTAGTCGCGGTTGTTTCAAGAAAGTTAGAATTAACTAGAGCTGAGAAGCACGTTCATAACTTCATGATGGATACACAACTTACTAAAAGAGTAAGTATTCCATCAATGTCAGTCCATCACAATTATTATTAATCTAATTAACAGGGGGCTGGATGTACAGCACTGTTAGTGACCGTTGCTTCAAGAAAATTAGAATTAACTAGAGCGGAGAAACACGTACATAACTTCATGATGGAAACTCAACTCACCAAAAAGGTAAGGCTCTGTTAAAAGAATGTAGGACGAGCAAAGGTAAGGATAGCTGAAAACGCAAAAACTGGTTTAGTATATGATTATTTTTTTAACATAATATATTATAAAATACGTATCATTATTTTTTTGTAAACCAATCTTTTTTACCTTTTTATGAAACAGTATAAAATGATTTGTAAAAAATAATAAAAATTGACACCGGAACCCCAACATTCACAACAGTAACACAATAAAAAGTACACACGCAAATATTAATTTGGACATTCTTACGTTTAATTTTAAATAAAAATGCATTTTCAATTTAATTTAATATCACACTGACTAACTTGTTGTTTAAATGGTTTTACGGTTAATTTATAATTAATTCATTAGTTTTAGTAACATTTTAAATTCAAGAGAAAACAGTAAAATTAAATAAAATAATCCACTTTAACAATGTAAAAATGGTTAAATAGTATATTATTTAGCTCATTCATCAGCTTAAATAATTAAAATTGTACAAACATATATCCATCAACAGGTTTATAAAATTTCAGCTAAAAAATGCAGCTGCCAATGTTTTGAGAGAGACTTGGTTAATTTACAAACACACACGACTTGTGAAAAGGGTTCATCCTGGGCGTGTGCGGACACATCAAAGAAAGTTTTTGTTAGCTATATACGCGTAAGTGTTTTATATTCTAAGAATGAATAAAACAGGTATTTCAAATAACATAAACAATACTTCATCAGAAAGGTAACCAGCGGTGCATTAATTAGGGTAAGATAACTATTATAACTATTATAATTGTGGAGATCTTTATTAAAATTCTCTTTATTTTTTTTAAATTGATACCAGATGCACTTTCCGTCGTGCACTACGAGCTTATTGGTGAAAATAAAATTTTTGGCCTAAAGGGTAAAAAATAAGATTAATATGTAACAATGGAATTTTCCTTTTACCACTTTATACCTATTTTCTTTTACTCCGTGATATCCCAAGAGCAAGAGAATTCACAAAGTCAGAGCCCATTCAGTACCAATTAAATATTCTGTTTCGAAACAGGATTCATTACTATCTGACAGATCTTCTTACACCATTTCTGTTTCACTGTCTATAATTTTTATATGAGATTTTTTCACAACTTTAAACTAGGCACGCATTGCTCAAGTGATGTTTACTGTAACACAGGGAATAGTGTGTATAACACAAAAGAACGTTTCATTCAAAAAGCTATACGATACATAAGCAACTGGGACGATAACACCCTGTGCGCTTGTTATTACTTGAGGTCAGTTCTATCCCGAAGACCATTAGAGTATAAAGTTATATAATATGTAGCATAATAAAAAAAAATCAACAAACTTTCTTCAATAATACTTATATAAAAGGAATTAATTAAAAGACATTGAATATATTTTTATAGAAAATGGGGCAAAATTGACCCAAAGACCTTGTGAAGGTTAAGAATAATTCTATCATAGCACATCAACAGCAAAACTAGAAAAAATTTGCCATACCATGGTAGTTGAGCGGGCTAGTCAGCTGCTATATATGTTAGCGGAATTTAGGTCTAGCTTTTTAAATGGAATTTCCAGTCACTAGAGTCTCGTTCATCCATCAGCTAGATAAACAGCGTGCAGGAGCTGAGCATTTGAAAAAATAGTGGCATATTAAAATTGTTGACATCTTTTTCCATACTTTAAAATTATTATATATTTACTTAATAAGCGTGAGAGCAGCGTCACTTCACGTCATTACTTATCGATACCTTCAAACTAATTACTCCACTGTGCTCAGCAGTGTAGGATGTAATATATAAAATGTAGTTTTAATTAATAAACATTAAGTACTTTACTTCTAAACTCGGTGCCAAGTCACGGTAGTGGCTTAGTGGATGGGTGCTTGTAAAGGCATAAAACAAGCAATCCGAGTTCGGTGCTGTGGGCGTCTGAAATTGTTGTCGCAATTTTGAAATGCAAATTTAAGAAGTTGTCGTTTGTAAACACCAAGAGGAACGCCTGCGTGTCTAAAATATAATAAATTTCGGTATATTTGAAGTACAGCAACATGCACTTAGGTTGCATGGCGAACTCTACCCGTAATATACGAGTACCTTATTAATTGTGACGTCTATAACCTGTAATATATGAGCTGTTATTTTACTTTTTATTTACTTTATTCAGGTTACGAAAAGTTAAGATGGATCAAAGGAAGTTAATGGATAATGCAAATACCATAACAGATATGGCAAAGGTAAATCGATATACTAAATATAAAAACAAAGCTGATGCTATTTTCATATCACACATCCATTTAGATTATTATAGGTGGCACTTAAATATTTTTACATTCAACGGAATAGAAAACAATAAATTTGTGATATTTTTTATTATGTAGATACCCCGAGTAAATATTTAATGTTTTGTAGTTATTCCACCTGAGTTTTATTAGTCTTTTTTATTTATTTATTTATCAAATAAATCCGTCACCATTTGCTAAGCGCATGTAGTTACCTAGTATCTAGTGATTATATTTACAGTAGCAGAATGGACATACATGAATATACATGACACTTATCAGAAATAATAGATATTCTTTACACTGGTACTCGACACTTTAACACTGCATGATTGGCAACGATTAGCGACTACAGTAAATAATGAGCTGCAAAGCGATTGATAGTAGGACCCTTTTCTGTTGCAGACCCAAAATACCGTTTACGAAATAGTTTCGGATATGAGTACTCGACAGGACAATATAGAAGAAAGGTTAACTAGTTTAGAAGAAAAATTGACGGCATTACAGGTAAACTAAATACTATTTTCGCAGTACATGACCTGTAGACTTGATTACAACATACCGATAAGTTTCAAGAGCTGTGTGAGGTTTTTTTTAAGAATAAGGGTGAAAAACGAGCACACACTTCACCTGATGGTATTTGGATGTTGTGGGCCCAAAAATATCTATATTTATCCTCAATTAAGAATCAAAATCCAGATGCGTTGTCACTCCTGAGGACTAAAATGGAATGCCTCGTTACGAATAGTAAAAAGGGTTTGCGGTTCTCTACACTTACCATACGAAACACAACAGAATTAAGCTACTATTTTACACTGGTACTAAAGCAAAAGTTAAGTCATCGTTATTATTTGCTTATACTTTATAATAATAATGATTTCTTATATTTACGCGAAGACATTAAATGAAATAAATTTTTACGGATTTTTTTTCGCATTTAATTTAGCTTTTTAATTCCCGACGTTTGACGACGACGGCTAACTATGACATCGGGACGTCATATACCTCAGTCCCTCCGTGTCCGTGGGTGCTGTAAAGCACCCGAAACGTCGGGAATTAAAAAGTTTAATTTAACGAAAAAATCCCTAAAAATTAGTTTCTTTATAATAATGTTAAAATATACTAAACTTTTAACTTTAAACGTATGATAAATATTTTCATTTAATATCTACGTATTAATGTACAGTAAATTCATACATTAGACAAACAAAATATATGCTTAAATTATGATATGAGGTTTGAATACTGACTTTTGTATTCTGCGCAAACAAGAATGTTGTTTTAACGTTTATGTAAGTAATGAGTATAGTTGACTACTTTTTAAATGAATAGAGATACCTGTTAGCTTTACAACACAATTTAAATTATAATTTTAGTACCTAATAGTTGCAACGCTGTAGGCTTCTTTAAAAAAAAACTAATGTCTTTACGCATTTTTCCTTATTATTTTGCCATGGCATTTCTCATCGTCCATTTATACCCATGTGACAAAAGGCATGATGGATTTTCATATGCAGCTACTTTACGCTCATACTTTATATGAAAATCAATTCACTGTTGGACATAGACCTTTTCAAGAAAGATAGACCTTTGCAAAATATGTAAAGACATGTCAAATGCGCCAACATGCACTAAGCATCACGGGTGACTAAGTGCTCCATAAACATCTCAATAATGAGAGGTCGTCTGAACCAAGCATTGTAACGTTAAAGGCTGTAACTTAACCCTTTAACTTTTATATATTAATTGGCAATTCAGGAACAAATGAATACCTTACCGGATGTGATGGCTCGGTGTTTCCAACAACATTGGGAGAGAACTGAGCAACGCAGAAACTATCTTCATCCAGATACGGCCGCAGCACCTACACCACCGTCGTCAACCATCTCACCATATTCTAGGTAAAAGAAACTTGTAAATAATATCATTAATTTATGAAAACTGAATAATGTGTATTAAAAAATCTCTCTCAAACTTAATTCGATTATTACAGAAGGGATTGACTGAGGAAGACATTTCCTCTTTATCCAATACTGAGTGCAGGCTGTACGCTGGCGGAACTTTTATTCAATTTTAAAATAACGGAAAAAAAAATAAGAAAAACAGAATACGAATACTAATTATTGCATACGTATTCCTTCCCAAATTACCTATTCTATAGTTATTAAAAAAATTACCTCTATATTTTTGGCTGTTAAGAGAGTTCGGAACTTCTTCGGACTTTATTTAGTTATTTCATTCTTTTGTGTGGTTTAGGGAAGTTCAACGTAACAAAACTGAAATATCATTTAAATAGGTACATTCTAAACTTCATCACCTATTTTTCACCTTTAGGTATGGAATTTTTTTAAACTTGTTAATAGGACCGAAATCATTTAAATACACAAACATTTTCACATCGAATATAATATCTTCTTATTTATTAAAAATAATTGAAGCTTTAGCGTTAGTGATCCTAGATTTTATCCTTTTAAATACAAGACATGGTCTGCACAAGATAATCATATTGTAGTTTTGCCCTAGCACGCACTTGTCAAAATAAATGTTATTAATTTACAGACCTCTGGCATCAGCGTCACTCCCGTGGCCGCCTAGTCCAGTTGTTCAACAAGCTGCGAGAGCACACTCTACTGCCGAGAGTAACGTAGCTCACTCCCCAACTCCTGTTCAGCCAACACCGTCGAGCCCCGCGCCACTCATGGCACGGACTCCACTACCTAGCTGAGTACCGCCTTCTAATTCCGAACTTCTTTGCTGAACTCGACGAAACTCGGCTCCTATCCTTTGACCCATCCTATAACAATACTATACCTGTTATGTTTATCGGGAAAATTGTTTCACCATAGATAATTGTTGTTGATGCATGACATAAGGTTTATGATATGATTAACAAAGCAATAGCTAAGAAATTAAAACATGGAACTTAAAATGTTTGATTCTTTACTGTTTTAAAACACTATGTTTAAAAGTAGTTTAGTTAGTTGCAACCAAACTAAGTTCCTGACGTTAAATTTTTTTATTGGGCGAGTGAAATGAGTTTCCCGGTTCACCGATGGACGATGCTGCAGTGCGAGAAAAGGTCAGCCGTAGTTGTCATCGCTGTTTCCCAAAGATTCGGAAGTGCCAGACTGTTCTAGTGGTATTTAGATAGTTGATAAAATCAGGTGAAAAAGACCGACTGTTGTGATTTCATGACATGCTTTATCAATAGACGCTTTATTAAAAAAGATAACAATATTTCAATATGTTTCCGTTAATTTAATTTGTATTATAATGAGGTTTTAAAACGTATTAGGGTTTTTCGTTTTACGTAAAACATGTTCTTTTTTTGGTGTTACTTTAAACTAAATATATTAAACATTTAGACAAAATTGCACATACAATAATTATTAGATTGTCTTTGAAATAAAAATTTGAGATCACTTTAATGATTAGAGTAAAAATAACGATTTCTGAATTTATTAATGGTAATTCAACATTAAAGTACGAACCAATATTTACCATTCATTCACATGACAGCTTTAGTACTTATAGATAAAGACATTCATCAATAACTCTGAGCGTTCAGCTCATCTTACTTTAAAATTTTTACGGTTCTATAAAATGTATACACATATTTATAGATAAAAATTGTTACTACCTGCCTGTTGATATGTAGATTGTAAAGTAAAATTTAGTGTAAATTAATGAAAGCTTTGTATAAGACGTTAAGATTGATGGCTGTCTAAATAGTGCCTAATACATTACAAAAATTTCGAAAATTCGGTTTTATTACCTTAAACTTGTGTATGATATGTAATTAAGGGGAGTAATATTTGAAATTGTAGTATTTAATATGTAGAATCTCGATTTTTGTAGGACGCATGTGAACGTCAGACGGGATCAATTCCTTTTTTTAATTTTAGTTGTAAATTTAAAATAAAATCAAAACATATTAATATTTATGGGTTTAAAAATTATAAATGACTTTATTATAGCCACTAAAAGTGAGTCTGTTAATTATTAAATATGTTTTAAGATGTTCATTTTTCTTAAAGAATTAAAACTCTAGTATAATTTAGTATAAGTAAGTGATTTAAATAGCTTTTAATTTTGCGAGGTCACCGGTATGCTCTGTTGTATCGACAAGAATAACATCTTGTATGTTTTCTGTTACACGCTCAAGAAAAAATACATTGAATTTATAAATAGCGAAGTAATTACAAAATATATGTAACGGTGTGTAAAAAATATATAAAATTTAACAATTATACATCGATCAGTCTGTAGCACAATCAGATATTGCAAAAGAGTTAACATTATATCATAAAGTTGCACGTAGACAAATCGCAACAACACGGTTATGAATAGTCATTTAATTTACACATTGGCTTAATTTGAGTATAAGCTATTCGTTAGCTTCACAAATTTTTACTAGCCGGTTCAAAAAAAATATCAAGAATAAAATATTTGTAGTGTTATTTTACTGGACGGATTTTTCATACCTGCCGTGCTTAATTAATGCTAAAAAAATCTTTGAGACTGCATGTAGCATTATAACGAAAAAAAAAACTAAATTTAAAATCACTGAAAATGTTTTCTATTAAGTTTGTTAATTATGAACAAATATGTTATTTTCAATAGGAAAACTATTTTTTTCTGTATTAAAAAATCCTTATAGTCTTTCGAAGCAGAACACCAATTAGATAGATATATTAGACATATTAGGTAAATTAGATTCGTCTTATTAGTAAAATACGGATCGCTAGCACACAAAATTTATTTAAGTATTTTAAGCAAATCAAATCTTTTAAATCTTAAAACTAGGATACATCATAAAGAAGCCCAACCCATTATAAACGTTTAATAATCATTTTAATATTAGTACTGATGTAAAGATACGAACAAAATTGTAGCTCAGCTCGAACCACTAGTTAATTTATAAATATTATGTATAATTATTTAATACACATTATAAACGTCAATGCTGCCAGCTTCAAAAATATTCTAATTTAATTTTTATTTTACGCTCAGTAATTAAATTAACGAAAAATACATGTATATTTAATGATACCAAAAATATTTATCATTTTAAGGGTATGAAAAAAATACGGTAACTATTCACTGCTTGCTTATCACATAGCATAGTTATTTAGGTATTTGTTTAAGGTTTGACCAAATGTTGTTAAGATTATATAAAATTTTGTGTATTTTGTAAATATATTAACATTTTGTAAACAATAGAATAATGTAAAAATATGACATAGTAAATAATATTTGCGATTTGACATGTAAGTTAGAGTAAAATAGTATGGTTCCGTAAAATATTTTTAAATAATTGTTATCGAAATGCAAAAGAGTGTAAGATGCGATAAGATTGTTTTATGCGGTGCGGAATTAGGCAAAATGAAACTTTTGTGATCATTGTTAATGAAATGAAAGTGTAACTTGGATTATATGGGCTGTAGTATTTTTTTATTTGTCTTTTATTTCCCTCTTATATTTTAAACAAAATAATTGAAAATTGTTTACGAGTATAGATCTGTTAGGAGATCTGTTAGCTTTCATCTGCTCTGCTATGTATTCCTTTAGAAATTTCCTCATGTTTAGCACACTGTGATTGGTAAACGTAGAGCAGATATGCTCGACCTGGTAATACTACTTTTCCTTAATAGTCCGTTAATTTTGGTTGTGTATTTTAGATTTTTAGAATTTCTGCCAACAACCAATCGCCAGAGCCTTGTCCATTCCTTATACACTGCGTGCTGATCAGGTTGACACTTGGAGAAAAAATTAATATACCTATGCCCGTTTACACTCCAGCCAGATGCACACCGCAAATTTTCTGCGGCATTAACAATTTGTTCGATGCAATTAACAACTTTCGAAAATATTTGGAAGTTGTAAATGTGGTCGAAAAGGACAAGAGAAGAACTTTATTATCAATCATAATAACGTTATTAAATAATTCATTCATTAAATACAGCCTATTGTAACGCTCCTTCCCTCCCTCTGCTATTATAAAAACGCCGTCTGATGTTAAATTTATAAAAATATTAAATTTTATATATTTTACGTGACCAGGCTAAGAAAATTTTAACCTTTCCCAAGGTTCTTTCTAAAGGTTTAGTTATAGGCCGTTTAATAAACTTATGGCGTCATCGTCTAAGTGCTCATACGCACTACGCGGGTAACCCAATGCGGCTAGACGTCCGGCTGACCGCCTGATGTGGTTACAAATGCGGCCGCCCAGATTGCGGGTAGCCGCATTCTCAACCGCAACGTGTGGTCTAAGAACTGCTGCGATTTATTTCAAAGATGGATTTTATAACTTTATTGGCAGTATTCCGGCAATCAATTGTTTCAAATTGCTGGCCGACTCTAGATTTCGATGTCAAATTTTTCGGTATCCATCGTAAACGTACAAAGTGTACACAATCTAATTCAATGGTGGGCAGTCACAAACTGAGCCGCTGCGAATAGTAACCGTGCGGCTGGCAGTCAATCTGGCCGCAGCCCCCCGAAAAACCAGAGTGGTCAGCCGTACGGCTATCCGCATTGCGGGTAACCGCATAGTGCGTATGATTGCGCAAAAATTTGATATCGAAATATATATTCTTTGTTTTTTCTTCTTTACGTAAGTCTGTCTGAAGTGGAGATTTTGTTGAACCAAGTCTAAGACTGAGGGCGACTAAATCTAGCCGGGTTCAATCCCTAGAGACAAAAGTTTGCGCGTTTACTGCTAAAAATAATCCCTTTGTCGTATCTCCTCGGTTTCAAGGCACTCCCCAGTGAGAGAGTGACGTGCAGTTTCGTGGTCACTTGGAAGAGAAGGCTAAATTGGCCTCTAAAAGGGCTCTTCCAGGTAAGAAGCCTGTTTTCAAGAAAAGGGTTCAAAACAGGTTAAAAACATAAAATCGCCCCTATTTCACTTATATCAGGTTCACATCAGTTAATTCCTCATTAACAAACCTCGCTTGGAAAAGGCTCACAAAATTTATATAAAAACTAGCTGACCAGGCAGACGTTGTTCCGACGACTATTTGCATTCCTAAAAAAAACTCCTGAGATTAGCAATAAAAAAATTGAGGGTCACTTATCGGGATAAAAACTATCCTATCTCTCAAGTTGGACCAAACTACACACAGTGTGCAAAATTTCATTGAAATCAGTTCAGTAGTTTAGGAGTTCATCGCGGACAAACAATGTGACACGTAATTTTTATATATAAAGATAAATGATACAGGGGCTTTGCTTCCTCACGTTTTAAAAAAAAAGTGTGTGTTTACTTATGTACGCACGTAGGAAGATATACTTATTTAGCGTAAGAAAAAAAAACTTGAGAGACAATTACCCACTGAATTTGTCGATTTTAAGTGTCAGTGTGCGCGCGCATCGTAACAAATTCATGGCGTTCTTTTTAAGTGTCGGTGTGCGCGTGCATCGTAAAAATTCACTCACATCATTTTTCCCAAACGCCCCAAAAGAAGTATATCTTCAAAAATCGATCATGTTTGTCTCACACACCAACAAGTTGGCTTCAATTAGACCTTTCATGTAGTTGCGTTATTTGATAGACTTACTATCATATGTCCTTTATATACGGGACTTCAAGACCCATCTTTGCTATTATAACGCTTACGTATCTTCGAGACCTTCTATATTATTGCTTTTGTATCATAGACCTTTCTATCATTAGTCTTTAATATGGGACTATTACATTGTGCTACAGTACTTCGGTAGTCA